GGGAGCTCTTCTCTTGCCAAAGCCATTAGTGCACTGGCAGGATAACACATCCTCTCTGCTAATTCTCTAGGTCATAAGCAAATTGAGACAGAAAAGCTGATCTGCTATCAATCTACATTAGGCACAGGAGTCCAGCTCACCTGTCCAGCAGCCACTGGTTTACAGAAAGTTTAAGGCTGGAATATCAAATTATAATTAAACTGATCCCATTTTGCTCACTGCTCAGGCAGGCTGGGCATAGAGCTCTGGGACAGGGCTGTACAATTCTTGCTCTCCCCAGGTGAGAGCACAGCACAGGGAGGGCAATTCCTCAGACAGTGCCCCGGGACTTCCACCGTGCTGCTTCATCCTTTCAGGGAAATCCATGGCCATGGTGTTGCAGCTATGCTCCATGTCCGGGGGCTCTGGGGTTGCGGCCCCACAGGGAGGGCTCGGATTCAGGCAGTTTGTGCTTACCTCAGAGTCTTGATGCCAGCTCACAGTTGTGCAGCTTGCAATTTGGAAAGGGACAGATCAGGGAAATGTTGCATATGGGATGTGGGAAACTCCTTCCCTAGAGAGGAAGGGGTGAGTGAGGGCAGGAGGAGGCAGAGTTTTTTCTAGAAACAACCCAAGTATCTCCCAGCATAGGCAGAAAGAGTTTTCGATAACCTCAATATAAACTGCTTAGTGCGATTAAAACAACCCGCTCTCATGGAAGGGAAAACAATCCTCCCAGGGAGGATTAAGCCCAGGTCTGGAGCCCCTCCCTCCATGGACACACCAGTCTGTGGATGAGTACCCTGGGCATGGCAGGTGCTGGGACAGTGGTCTTCTCTGCCATGCGTGCAGAGAGGTTTAGCCTGGATATTAGGTAAAGGGTATTCCCACAGCAGGTGGTTGAGCACTTGAACAGGGTCCCCAGGGAATGGTCATGGCCCCAAGGCTGCTAGAGCTCAAGAAGCATCTGGACAATGCTCTCAGGCACAGGGTGGATTTTGGTGTTCTGTGCAGGGCTAGGAGTTGATCTATGCAGATCCCTTCCAGCTCAGAATATTCTGTGCTTCCATGATTTCAAACACAAGTGGTGCCTGCAAAACCTCCAGAGTCACATTTGCAGTGAACAAAGACACCCACCTGCACATCATTTCAAATCCTGCCTTTGATCTCAGGTTCCGGTAACAACCTTCTCCCCATCCAATTACTTGTCTTACAATTGACATAGAAATATTAAATTCCTAAGAACTAAAGCGCTTTCAAAGTATAACCTACTTTCAAAGTAGACAAGATTTATCGTGGAAGCATTTGCTTTCTAGTCCTTGACATTATCAAAGTCACTGATGCCTCATCAGCAGCTCCATAAATGAGGCCTCCAAACACAATGTCTAGTTGCCTTTTGCTGAGCACTGTTTGCTGGCTGAGCTCTGATGATGGCAGTCTGGCACAAGTCCAGATTTTTGTTGGTGTTGCATTTGGTCAGGGTGTGATTTCAGCAGAGGAACCCCAGCAAAGGAATTTGCCATTGCAGGGAAAGGAAGTCAAACAGCCATCGTGGAAGTGCTCCATCCCTGGAAGTGTTCAAGGCCAGGGCGAAGCAACCTGGTCTAGTGAAGGTGTCCCTGCTCATGGCAAGGGTGGAATGAGATGAGCTTTAAAGTCACTTCCAACTCAAACCATTCTGTGATTCCATGATCCTTCAGAAGCAGCAACAGCAGGACACAACTGAGCATAGAACAATTTGGTAAATGCTACTGTAGCAGGAGTCTTGACCTACAGATATCACTACAAAGTGACTATCCCAGAGGAGGACTTCCCTGTAAGGGTCACACCACTGCCTCACAGCCACATCCAGCCCCTTCTGCCTCCCTGGTGGCACTAGAGCTGGTCCTGGCTGAGCCCCTCTGACTGTGTGGCAGGTGGTGGCCCTGTCACCATCCCCTACGACTCTATAACCATGTGACCATGGTGTGCTGTGGGCATCCTTCTGCTGCCACACACTTCCAGGCGCAATCAAGTCTGTCCTGCACCCCTCTGACCATTGCTGAGTAGCAGAGGCAGCCGCTGGCAATGTGGGCTCACTGCTGCTAGCCACAGCATCCAGAAAACAGCTCAAATTCGAACTGGGAAACCTTTGCAATGGAGCAAGCACCAGGCTTCTGGTGGCGGCACCAGCAGCAGCAGCAATGGTGCCCCTGGTCCACACCTCTGCCTGGTCCCAGCTCTCATCATAAATTGCTGCACTAACCTACATGGAGAGGCATTAACTTTCTCTCCTAAAACAAGGTGCAATTAGTTGGGCTTAAAAGAACACCAAGCAGTGCTAATTACTCTCTAAAAGATGAATAGAATTAAGCCAGAGAAGCAGAAAATTACCTTTGTGGGAGATCTGTTGCAGAGTTTAACTGAACAAGAATGGTAGCTGGATTGACAATGAAGAATTTGTCTTTTAACACCAGTTCACAAGCACCTTGACTATCGCCTTTTTTTTTGCTCCTGGAAATCACCTAGAGCTTTAATTAATAATTAAATAATAAATAATAACGAGCTAATAAATAATTAATCAATATTTACTTAACAATTAATAATAATATAATAATATTTAATTAATAGTCAGTAAATAAAAATTAATAAATATTAGCTAACGAAGAAATAATAAATATTTAATTAAATAATTATGATAAGTAATATTTAAATTAGTATTTAATAGTATTAAATTATAATTAGTAAATAATAACAATCTAATAAATAATAAATATTTAAATTATGACTAACAAATAGTATTTAATAATAGTAGAAAATATTTAATCATTATTTATTAATACTTAGTTAAACTAATACATATCAAGATAACAATATATCTTGTTAAAAGTAATTATAATTAATAATAATTTTATTATTTTAATAAAATGAGAAACACAAAGCAATGTAATAAAGAAAATCATTATTATTTTAAATAAAATCAAACTAAAATAATAAAAACGAGAAAAACCCAGCTTTATTCTCGATATTTTAAACATTATCTTCAATCCAGAAACTACAAAACAGCTCCTCTCTGTCCCGCAGAAACAACAGCTTGTCTCCCTGTGCCACTCCAGACCCCGCACCCGCCTCCGGCCGCCCGAAAAGCCCAGGACGTGGCAGAAAGAATTGGCCACGACCGGCCCCGCCGCCCCAGGACACCGCCGGCCCCCAGATGCTGGCCCCAGCAGACGCGGGCATGGCGCCCGACCTCACCGGCGCTCCCCAGTTCAGTGAGCACAGGGCTCCC